TTTCTCCGTGGCATCCCAACAATTACTCCACTCACACACAGAAGAAGGCAATGGCAAACCACTTCTGATCATCTCTGCCAAGAATGTATATATGCATGAGCAGGTCCCTGACAACCTGAAGAGGTTGGAAGGATCCTGTTCATAATATATGGACCTGTCGTCAGACAGAACACTACAAAAAAAGTTCAAATATTTGGGAACAACAATAACAAATCACAATGATATTCATGAGGAAATTAGAAGGAGATTAAATTCCGGAAATATTTTGCCTTCCTGTCTGATTTATAAAAACCTAAAGATTAAAATATACAAAACAATAATTTTGCCTGTTTTGTATGGGTCTCTCACTCTGAGGGAGTAACACAGGTTGCAGGTGTTTGAGAATAGGGTGTTGAGGATGATATTTGGGCCTAGGAGGGAAGAAGATGGGGTATGGAGAAAACTGTGTAATGATGAGCTTAAAAATTTATACTCCTCCCCCAGTAATTGTCAGGGTGATTAAATCAAGAAGAATGAGATAGATGGGGCATGTGGCATGCATTGATGGGGCAAGAGGTGTGCTCTGGGTATTGGTCAGGAAGCCTGAAGTGAAGAGACTGCTGGGGAGACCTAGACATAGATGGGAGGATAATATCAAGTGGGATCTGTGAGAGATAGGAGATGAAGGCAACTGAATTTTGTTGACCCAGGACAGGGACCAGTGGAGGGCTTTGGTTAATTCGGTAATGAAACTTTGGTTTCCATAAGCTATGTAGTTAGTTTAGTTAGTTGTTACAGTCTTCATAAATATTTATATTTATTTATCGGGTGAGAAATGTATACACAATTGTAGTTTGAAAACTTGAAAGAAAGAGACCACTTAGGGATATGAGTATAGATGATAGAGGATGATAATAAAATGGATCTTGGAGAATTAGTGTGTGTTGATATAGACTGGGTTCATCTAGCTCGTCCCCGTCAGGGATCGAATTCCAGGTGTCCAGCCTGTAGCTAATCAATATACTGACTGAGCTATCCTGGCTCTTTAACAAAAGTAGTATCATTACATGAACTAATCATTCATTCTGACAACCAGTACTTGAATTTGAGAAGTTCCCAGTTCAAATTTTGGCTGGGTTGTTGGTTGTTTTCATTGATTTTTCATGACTTTCCTCAAAGCATATTCTGGGATAGTACTTTGAAATAAGGCCATGACCACCATTTTCCAAAATCTTATCTGTTCAACATTCATGATCAGAATCTAATCAGACCACGTTGCCTCCTTCCAAACATCTACCAACTCACCATGTATGAACATTTTCCCTTCTCATTCAATGTTCTGTAAGCTGTGAAGTAGAGACCAAAACATTAATTCAATTATTTGCATAGACATATTTATATTTGTTTTTGTCACTTTTTTTGGCAATATTATTTCTTGTAATCATTTATTTTTTATATTCAGCAGCCCTGTTATACCTTAGAGTGATATAAATCTTTATCTTTCACTCTGTAAATGTCTGTGATTGACATACATGGCCATGTTTGTGTCCAGACAACCACATTCTGCATAATTTACAACTTTCTTTCTTACGTGTATTTATTTTTACTAAACAGCATACTTCTAGAGTACACTGACGTTGTTTTCATGGATTAGAACCTAATATGATAATCACAAAGCCATGTCACATGTTGCGATGTGTACCATGTCTGAGTGTATGGTGAGCCAAGGAGGAATGCCAGTGTCATGGCCTAAAATACATGCTGGGCCTTTAAAGGTTAACATATAATTTTGATATTGCTGTTTCATTCATGTACACTGAAAGTGAACTTATTTCTGTTACAGCACTGGACTAATTCCAGGATAAATAATTTGAGAATTATATCATGTTTTGAGGTTTTAACAGTAGTGTGAATTTGGAGTGTGGTCTTATGGGTTATTGTACCATGTAATATTCTGGTTATACACAAACATTTCAGAGGAACATGCTGGCTGCCCCTCGATAGTGGAAAATATAGGGACTTGCCATTATCATTAACACTAAATCTTTGACTGGTTGAATTGTCAAATACTGGCATGCAAGACATGAATAGCTTCTCAGTGTTTGGTATATTTAATGTAATAACATAATAGGTCTGAATAGTAATTCATCCTGCAGAAGATCCCAAGAGAACTCAAACCATAAGGCATCCACGAAAATGTAGTAAGAGATATTAGTAAGAACAGACACCTCGTAGAAATTACGTGCCATGTCAGAATGCCTATAAAATAATTTCAAAGTAATAATTATGTTAAAATATATTTGTATGGATTGTTATTTAAATACTAAATACTACATACGACAATATAGAGCTACAAGACCAAGAACCGACAAAAGATGCTCGCAATCCGTGCAATGGACTGTGGGAGCGGTGCCACGTAATATGTGACAACTTCCGATTACAAGTCATATCATATGTGTCGTGATGAGCGAAAACGTGAAAATTGAAGCATAACACGAGTTTTAAGTCGAACTTGTGGACACTTGGGTATGTAAATAAATTGTAAGGTAATAATGTTGGAACGGTTTGTGAGAATTGATTTGAAATAATCCATAAGTGATCTTTAAGACAGTCTGATTAACGATGATATGCAAAAAAGAACTAAGAATATTTAACGCCGAATACAGCTGCATATGTTTTGATACAGCTTCTTTCACAGATGTACTTGATTGAAGTGACGTGGAATGCTAAGGTTCGTCATGGCTCAGATTTTGGCTACTTTAATGAGAGGAGCCGAAATGAGCAACACTTAACCAATTTCGAGGTCAGCTGCGCGCTTTTGTCGTATGGCAATTTTACTGTACCAGCTCAGGTTCAGGAGTTGTACGATTCAGTACCTGTAAACAAAAATGTTCAGTACTAACCATATAGGTACCTAAATAAGAGCCTGCTAAGTGGTTTATCAGTCATTATTTCTACTTAAATTTTTATCGCACTTTTATAACACTAACCTTGACCCATTTTAGTATTTATTACAACCTGAACAACTTATAAGCACTGAATATTAACAGTTACAGGTCTCAATACAACATAACAAATGGCCCAACCAAGTGGATATTCCAATGTCTTGGCACCTTCTGCAGGTAAAAGTCTAGCCAGGTAGTAGTTACATGTTTTAATATGATGACTGTCCTCTGGGTTGTAGCACTGTAGTTTGGTAGAAGTTTACCAATGTTTTGTAGATATTTGACTGCCTTCATCATCATCTCCTTGAAGGACCTCTGAAATGTTTGCTGACTTCTACAACCCAGAAGACGGTGTTGATGGATGCAGCAAGGACCTCAGAAACGTTTGTAAACTTGTAGCAGACTACAAGGCACTGAGTCATCGTTGTACTCACTTCCATTAGAACCTCAAATCCTATGCACCTACATATTCTTGCTATGTGCAGATAGTCTTCTCATATTTTTATATTTTTGTTGTTAGTCATCTGGATATGCACTGTTAGATATGGTATTTAAAAGCCTACAAATAATTTTATTGTTTATTGAGACACATAATATTCTTAACTGTTAGTGGTGTGTAGACACATATTGAACCAAAACTTGAATAGACACCACCCAAGTGTCTTACAGACAGTTGTAGGTATGGTAAATGAAAATAGTACTATAGATGCATATATGAGGGACCCCAAAACTTGAACCTATACCAGAATCTGAAGTTTTCTCTTCTTTTGTTCAATACTTATACTGTACTGTATAAAAAAAACCTGAAAATTTATATATTAACAATGTTGAATATTATCATGTACAGGCTGAATCTAATTTTGTGCATGCCAAGTCTAGCTTGTGTGCTGTATCTCACTTCAATCTGTTTTAGAATAAGTGGAAGTTTGTTTGTTTACAAGGGAAATCTTGTGATTGTTCACAGCACAAGGAATTCCTGTTGTGGTTCCACCACAGCCTAGTCTTATTCCCAATGGACAGCCACCTCAGTGGAATCGCCCTCCAACCTTCCCACATGCTGTGAAACCCAGACCTTCTCCAGCTGGAATTAATGTAGCCACTTCTATTACATCTAATGGAACACCAACTCCATCCAGTTACAGCCATCCAGGTTTGTTAAAAATTAACCTCCACCTTACACATTTCTTAAAAAATATACAAAGTATTTTGATATTGTGGAATGAATTAAATGTTAAATATAACATTAAGTGATAAGAAGGAAAGAAACAAAGTTAATTTTTTTATAAAGCAGTAATAGTTGCCATGCTTTGTTGTGGAAATGAAACTTAGGTTGAAGATAATAAAAATTTTGATAAATTATAACAGCAGAAGTGAAATTTTTAAGACATGTCGAGGGCTATGCCTGCTTAGACAAAATTACAAATGAAACTGCAACACTCTATAGACTCAACTAGATGATAACATTTTGGAGAAACATACTGTCTCCTGAAATGTTTGTAGATAACAACATTATAGGAGACAGTATGTTTCTCCATAATGTTGGTGTCTACCTACAAGTCCACATGGCATTGCAACCCAGAAATTTCACTTCCATGAGAACCTCATATCTCATGTCACTGTCTAATGGTTAGCACGCTTGCATTATTTTGGGAGATTCTCAGTTCACATCTCATTCCTTAACTGTTCTGACTGAGGTTGTTGTGGGTTTCCTCAGTTCCTCCAGGAGAATTCCAGGAAAGTACCTTGAAATAAGCCAAGACCATTTTTTATGCTTCTTTTCCAATTCATTTTTCTCTAATTTCCCTGTAATTTGGCCCTGTGTAATCTGAGCTATTTCCAGTGTCATTCAATTAATTATAAGTAAGTATATACAAATAAAGAACATAACAGACTGTCATGAGTTATGATTAGTCCAAAATTAAGCTGTCAGTATTTGTGTTTGGTCAAACCTGTCTTGTGACAATCTGTTATATTCTTGTAGTAACCCTCCAGCACAATTTTCTTGTCACTTTAGACCTGAAAATAGAAGTAGCAAGTTTATCCAAAATGTCTATAGTTTTTATTGCTGTGGTATGGGGCTAAGCTATGCTACAGTGAATGTGGACTACCATATATACCTCCATGTAAACTTCTAAACATTGTTTATACTCAGTATTGCATCCTCATAACTTATCAGTTTTAATGAACATATGTTATTAACATTTTCCATCTAGAGTGGTAATCTTTGTGTAACTTTCAGTGCCAGTGACTTCAGTCAAGGGTTTGCTACTACAATAATGAACAAAAGATTTTCTACACCATTAAAATATCAGAGAATCACTCCTGATTATTCCTTTTCTCATTTGTTATTGCTCTGAAGGCAAACATGATGACATAAACAGTCTGGAGAAGAAGTTATTAGCTTTAACCTAGTGTTATGGACCACACAAGATCACACTGCTATTACCATACTTTGTGATTTGTTATTAAATTCACAGGAGCACGTTTTACTTCAAAGTGATGGTGCACTCTGTTTCAGAAACTCTAGTCTTGTATATGACATATTGCTCTGAGGAACTATTTGAAAACTCATCTGTGATCATTCTCTTTACTCATGTAACTTGTGTTTTCCCATATTACTCAGGAAAATATTTGAACACTTAATTATCTGAGAATTGCAATAACAAATATAAATATTGAATATTGTGACTGAGTACTTGTGCTTTATCTTTGGTTATCTTGAGTTTAAATTTTGGCTTGCAGACTGGCTATCCTAAGTATAAATTGTGATTACAGTGAAACCTCTATCCATCGTTCCCGGAACTATCGTTTTCCCGGATGCATCGTCCGTTTTGTTCGGTCCCGAATACATCCCATATAAAATAATGTTACATTTTCCCGCTTCTATCGTTCCTCGAACTATCGTTTTATCGCATCGATCGTTCAAAAATCTTAGTCCCGGCCAACAATTTTCCCGCAATGATCGTTTCTGAGAAATTAAAATGCTGGGTTTTGAGATAAATTAATACCGAAAGACGCACAATGTTTTTGGAATACACAGTAGCGGTAACCTGTTATGTCGCCCAACCAGCACATTCTTTTGGAATGAGGGTCAGCGGTGCAGGGGTGATAGTTGGAGTGAATGGCGATGCTCATTGTCAGAAATTTTACGATTTTAATTAGGGTGCACTCATATTTCGTTCCAGCGATGCCAGATGGCATGTGCAGTGTGAATTTCTTCACAAATGCTTTTATTACAAGGACAAAGGAAAGGCGAAAGTGCTGCTGTGGATGTGGAAATAACGGAGCTGTGGCTCGAGAGACTGCCAACACTGCTGGAGGGATATGAGCCGCGGGACATTTATAATGCGGATGAGACCGGACTTTTCTACAACGCCCTCCCGGATAGGACTCTGGCATTGAAAGGTGAATCTTGCCACGGGGGAATACGTGCAAAACACCGAATTACTGTTCTTCTGTGTGTTAACAGTGACGGTAGTGACAAACGGGTTCCGATTGTAGTTGGAAAATCACGAAAACCGCGTTGTTTCAAAAACATGAAAAAACTTCCGGTGAAATATCACGCCAACAAAAAGATTCTTTATCTTGTTTCAGGCAGCTTATCTTCACATTCTTCAAGAGACCCTTCACCCATTCCTTCTGATCGCCATGGTGAGAATCTTTCCAGTTCATCACCAAATCTTACCATGACCAATACTCAACATCCACATCAGAGAAGTCATCCATATCAGCACTCAACAACACCTCCAGTGTTGAATACTTCATCAAAGAGAGATTCCCCAGGAATGGTTTTAAATACTTCCCAACGCAGGATTATACAGCATCCTGTAGGACATTCTGTGTCTTCAGTTTATAATGCACCAGTAATTCCACCATCTCCTGTCACCCAAAATTCTGGCCAGGCAAAATCAGTAGTTGGACTACAGAATGCTTCAAGCCCTCTGTTAACATCAGATTGTTCATTTTCTGCAGCTGAGTGGAGTAATCACACCATGACATCAAGCTCACATCAGGTAGCACCCCTTGAAACCGGTTACTCCCAAGAAGTGATTTCTCAAAATGTTGTTTCACAGAACATTCCTTCACAATTTAATCGAAGTAATCAACAACAAAGGTTAGGGACTAGTCATTTGCCTCCAAATATTCATCCACAAAATTTAGAATCAAATTCTAATCAACAGAATTTTGATGGAAGATCAGGACCCCCACAGAACTTGTTGGCAGGAGTAAGCTATGCTCCTCCTTACACGCAGATAACAACTAGCGTTATCAGTGGCCCACCACTGCAGCATCAGCTATTGTCTCGACAGGGTACAGGATTGCCACACCAAAGTATACAAGGCCAGAATTCTACTATGTCTTCTCCTGTGCCAAGGACAAATGCTCAAAGCTTTGTACCAAACCAGTTGTTGAACAAACCATGTAGCCAGTCAGGGCCAGCTTTTGGTATGTTACCAATGCCAGGTCCACCAGTTGGTACAAATACAGCCCAGCAATCAATGCAGCCATCACTTATGGGTCAACACATGACCCAGCCTGGAATTCTGTCTCATAAGGGCACCTCCCAGATACAGCCAGGAATCCCATCAGTTACTGGAGATGCTCAGAAACCTCCTAGCATGGGCTATCCACAGCCTCCAATGCCTAATCAGTTTCCAGTACATCCTCAACAGGGTACAGCTCAGTATGATAGTGGCCATCATTTTGGGAGACGTTACCCTCAGCAGGTGAGTTATTTTCTGGAAGCAAGGTGGTGATATTTCAAAACAAATGCTAAACCTGTATGTAGTGTAGTTTTGTTGTCCATTAATTTGTCCCTCATACCAATGTGGAATTAAGTTATGCTGTTCTAGTTTCACTTTTGTGGCCTAACATTGATGATATTAAAGTATTGCATTGTGGTTAGCATTCATGAAGTATGTACCATTGTTTGAAAATACAGGTATTTAAAATGAACTAAAGTTAATTTTTTTGGTACATGTTTTGAGGATAGGATTTCCCTGTTGTAATTTGAGGCCCTTCAGCAAGTAAGCAGACTGATTCTGTAAACATTTTTTGACATAAATACGTCTATGCGGAAGGGTCATTCGGCAAAAAAGCGTAATGAAGTTGTGTAAGATCCATATCAACAGTGTGTAAATATGGACCGACAACAATGGTCAGCTTTTATATGAACTCCTCTGTGCATTGTTGTTACCTAAGAAACTAATTGTTGCATCATCTGTTCACTCGGCATTGTTGTGTTACATTACTGCCGTCAACAATCCGCTTTCGTTATTGTGGAAAGAGCTGAGCTGTGAATCGCTTGTAGAAGAAATGTGTCATACACTAGATAATTTTGTGCTGGTAAAAACTTTTTAGAATATCACAAATACTTGTCTTATATAAAAATTATTACATTACATTACATTACAGAGACGTATTTACATCAGATTCTCTGGAACTGTGGTTCCACCGTAAACTTTTTAATATCACTTAGTGGGTGTAGTCACCTTCGTAGTACTCTTCTTCTGACTGTATACATGTTCAAATATCTGCCATGCCTGGAAATAGTTTTCTGAAAGTTATTATTATTGCTTTCATATTGTGCTGAATATTTTCAATAAGATATCCTTTCAATGAAATTTTTCAGTTTTTGGAATGCAACCAAGTTAATGGAGAAATATCTGTTTGAGTGTAGTGTAATAAATATTCCAATATTGGTATTTATGTTTTACCAAAAATGTCCTACAGCAAGAGTTACGTAGGGAAGCTTGATGCATACTCCATTTTGGCATCTGGTCTTAGTCAATGATTGGTCAGCTGTAAACATCCCAAAACACAAAGGAAGACTACATAAATGATTGGTGTTGGTAGTGAGTTTATAGAGTCGCTTCAGCAACATGGTCATTCATGCTTGCCAATCTTACATAACACTGTTTAAGTGTCTTCATTATTTATAATGAAAAAGTGGTCCATTTGTTTTAAGTATAGTTTATAAAATCTTTCCAAAGTGAACTGCCTATGCCAGTGGTTTTTGGAAAGTTACAAACTCTTCATGAAATGTTGCTGTTCTGTGGCATATTAAATTACTAGTGTTTAGGTATATATGAAGGACAGTCCACTAACATATGCTAGGCTTAGAGGTATATTCTGCAGTGCCAACATTTACCACAAACAAAAATTCTTATATAGGAATGGAACATTTCTGTAGTACAAAGTTACTGTTTGTCAGATTTAGAATATTTCTTATTTTTATGTTATTTCTAAGGTTTGTATTCTTTTACTGTATTGAGTTTTGACTTTTATTATTTCATATTTTTAAAATTCCTTCTAGCAAACATACCAGCAGAGGGGCCAAACTAGTGGAGATATTCCAACATCACAGATGTCAGGGTTGTCTGTTACACAGATGGGTTTCAACAAACTCTGGGTATGTAGGAGTACAAGCTCATGATTTAGTCCCATGTTTTGTATTACATCTAAGTCGCAAGTTTTAGTAAATAACTTGGATTCAAACGTTTTCATGAATTACTCATGTTTGTTGTTATTTTTCAGGGAATGGAAAGTATTGATCTCCTTCAAAATAGAAATGTTTTGCCTACAGGAAAAGTTGAAGTACCAAAAGTTAGATTACATCAGGAGTTCTTAAATAGTGTTAATTGTAGTCCTGAGTAAGTACTATTATTACTTCCTCCTCGATTGCTTTCTTCCTTTTAGCCCCATGGGCCACCCATTTCCTTTTCACTACCTACCACCACTTTCTAATAAGAAATATGCTGATAGAATTTTACTGAATCTCATTACCTGTTATCAGTGATTATTAATAGTACAGTGAGTCTTAGAAAATGTTTTGAAAATTCTGGAAGGTATATGGATGAATTGAGATGTTTGTGGTGGTGTTGAAGATTGTGAATTGAGATAGTGATTCTGTTTATACTTTAATGTTCTTTTCTGTTTCAGAATTTTTAGATGTACTTTAACAAAAGTTCCAGGAACAAATTCTCTTTTGCAAAAGTCAAGATTGCCATTAGGAATTCTTATTCATCCCTTTAAGGATTTAAATGTAAGTATTTTGTTATAATATATTTTTAGTTAACCTGGATGAGTGGGGTTCAATCTCTGACAGGGGGAACATCATTTTGATAATGACATGTAATACAGCAGAAATGGTAAATGCTGATATGCAGACTAAGGATATAAAACAATGAAATTGTTTTATAGAGACTGGTGATACAAGATATATAAATGAATGTAACGTATGTAAGTATAAAATCAGGGAGTCTTACCCCATCTTCAGCAATTTGTAACTTGTATATGACAGACTATAAATTTATTTAGAAATTTTAAGATTGAATAATAACTTGTTAGTAATATTTTGAGCAGAACTGTGTTGAGTTAGGAAGTTCATTTCTTGCTTTATTTAACCATGTATCATCTGCATAGATTATATAGTATTGATTGGGATGGTGATTGTGAATGTTGAATTTGAAAGGAAGAGGTTGTGACATACATTAAGGTAAGATCTGTATTTGCTTGGAGAGGCTGAAGGAATTTGCAGCCTCTGAGCATAGAATTGAACCCAGAATGTCCCATATATGTAGCAGAAGTGCTAATCACTTACACATAACGTTACTAATTTGGTAAGCAGGGCCAGAAAGAGGCAGGTCAAAAGTACAGTAGTTGAAACTTCTAAATAATGTCTGTGTTACATAACAACATTGTTTTTTTGGAAGTCTTTGTAGTGTCTGTCTTGGTACTGTAAGAATGGTATTAGATGAAGACTGCTGAAGATTTTAGTAATGATTTGTAGTCATATTTTTACCTGTACCTCAAGGTTTATGGCTGATGTTGCCTTTGACTGTAATTGGACTTTCATATCATCAAATGTTATAGGCCAGGGATTGCCAGGCATCTTGGTGCCCTCAAAAGTGTTTTGGGGTGCCCATGAAAATTTTATTATGTTTGTAAAGAGTTTTAAGTGTTTAACTTTATCATTGTCTGATAATTTGTCACACAGTTATATTTCCTCTTGAGCCAGTTAGTGTAGCAGATGTGAGAACACAGTAGTAATTTCATCATTTCAGTATGTGTCTTTATTTTCAATAGATTCACAATGGTTCCTGCTATAAATTATAAACTCCTAGTAGCCCTTCATACAACAAAGGTTTGTGACCCCTGATATAGTATAATCAGAATCTGTTTTATACATTTGCAGCTGTGCAATAGCAGGATATTTATATTGTATTTCATATTTCAGAACTTGCCTGTTATCCAGTGTAGTACCATTGTGCGATGCCGGTCATGCAGAACATACATCAACCCGTTTGTCTATTTTGTTGATCACAAGAGATGGAAATGCAACTTATGCTTCAGAGTCAATGAACGTATGTCTAAACTTGTCTTTATTAGTATGCTGAAACAGCTGATTTTGTTACTTGAAATTATAGCTTCTTAGGTAAATTTAGATGTCATATATTCTCATATACTATAATGCACATTTCATAAAGTACCTGTTAGTTCTGTTGTATTAGTCCTTCTGTCTGCAAGTAACAATGCCCAAACTGGAACTGATTGTGATGAAAGTCATTACTGTGGACGTGGCCTTCATTAACTGTGCCAGATGAGATTTTATTTTAAAAAAGTCATCTACATAGGGCTTAAAATAAATGTCTGTAACACCTTTCAAGTCATTTGACAAATTTTAAACTTGATATGTGTTACTTCTGTTATATATATTGCTATGTTTCTTTCACATTAAGGTCTACCATAAAAAAATTGTCTTGTACATATTTAGTTATGGTTTATTTAATAGCACTTTAAGTATTTCAGACTATATAGTATCAAATGATGGGATAATTAATGAATAATGAGTGGGAAATGATATGGAAGGAAGGAGTTGTGGCCTAATTTAAGGTACTATCCCAGCATTTGATGGAGAGACTGAGGAAAATAACGAGTTACAGGATACCCAATCTCCAGGCTAATATTTGAATCGCAGGCCCTCATGAATATGAAGTAGAAGTGCTATTACTCATTTCTGACATTCAATGTGAAAACTCCTGAATAAAGATTTGTAGGTATCTATAAAGTACATATGTTATATGTCTTAAACAGTATTTGCATATAGACTACCGATATCAAGTAAATTACTAATATAATAATTATTATGTATGTGCCATCAGAATAATAGTCTGTGCTTGAACATGTCATGCGTAAACAAGACGTTTTAATGCCACTTTCTAAGAGTGTTTGTACATTCTTCTTAAAGAGTATTGTCACCTGTGTTCTTGCTTAAAGTATTCACTGTGAAATTCAGCTCAAACTTTTGACTGTCATAGTAGTGATGTACTGAAAAGTTTTAACAACAGCAACAATAATAATAAACAACTTCATGTGAGCTCAGTTCACTTAATTTGGGGTTTATTTTTTTATTAAGTACCAAGTTTGAACCTTCAGAAAATTATTGTGGCATATTAATATATTTCGATGGAATTTCATATTAGAGCTGCCATTTTACTTTAAAAAAAAAAAAATTAAAACATAAGAGATTGAAAATGTTGCTGACAGAATTTAGTGACCCAGTTCAGGTAAGCATTTTATTTTGTGTCAAACTAGTCAGAGCAGAAGAATTTGTTTTGTGTGAGTTAGCTAATTGATGTAATATAATGGAACATATATGATGAAAAGGGTTATAAAAAGTCCAGTTAATAAGAACATATGATGTCTGCATAGCCCTTGTTAGGCATATAATACTTTATATAATGACAGTTATATCTCAGAGCTACTAAATGTGGTACTGAGTATGCTAAATAATGTGAAAGTCTCTTGATTGGGAATATTTTCCATCCTGTGTCTTCTCTTACAGTTGTTACAAAGCAGAATAGAGAATGCCATATACCACATGAATTTATGTTTTTGTATTTACAGTTCCTGAAGAATTCCAGTATGATCCAGTGACCAAAACATATGGTGATCCCACTAGAAGACCAGAAATTAAATCTTCTACCATTGAATATATAGCTCCATCAGAATATATGGTAAGTTGTATTACTTATTTGAAAAATGTGATTGAAGACTTTGCATGGTATATTTTTTTTATACATTATATTAAGAAGTCTTCCAAATGCACAAATACTTGTATCAAATATTCTTAATTATGATTTGTAGAAATCAGAGCAGCTACAATGTTTTGTTGAAATGCTGGATAATTCTCAACATTCAATGCACCTCATTCCTGAAAACCAAAGTTACACATTGAACTCCAGCTGCAAAAACCTTAATTGTTTTGTAACAGCCAAGACCTATATTGCTTTTATATCTTTTGATATTAAAGTGTATTCACTTAGTTTTGCAGCTGAGTAAATGGATAATTTTTTATTCTGTTTCAGCTCCGACCACCACAACCAGCTGTATACCTGTTCCTGTTAGATGTATCTAGGCTAGGAGTTGAATGTGGTTATCTTCGCATGTTCTGTGACATTTTACTAGAAGAGTTGGATAAATTGCCTGGCGATGGCAGGACACAAATAGGATTCATCACATATGACAGTAGCATTCATTTCTATAATCTTGCAGAGGGACTGAACCAGCCTCAGCAGATGATTGTTGTGGATACTGAAGGTGTGCTATTAGCGTTGATATGACCTTTTACTACAGGTATCTTTCTTGACTGATTGAAAAACTTATAAACATTGGCATCAGTACCTAAAGGTGCAACACTGCTAATCCTGAAATCTGGCATTGATCATGATCCTGATCTATCTTATTGTTATTCTTCTGTCATTTCTTTAGTCATCTAAGTGGGCCCCTTTTCAACACTCCATCACATATTCTGAGTGTATGGAAGCAGTGGCTTCCATAAATTAAGGGTGGTTGTGAATATATTAAGTAAACTATTGTAGACAGCTAAAAAGGGATGGTCCCCCAGCTTGATGATTGGGTGTAGGATTGTAGGTTTTCACCATCAGATGTTTTGTGTTACAAAACTTTCAGAAGAACTTAGAATTGAACAGATTCTTTGGAATAACCTAAGGTAGGGATTGACAAGTTTTCAAAGCAGAGGAACCATTTTTGTGATATTCTTTAAAAAAAATATACTTTTTGGAGAGCTGCTTTAAAAATTAAATTTTTTGTTGATGCCAGAGAGAGATTTTAAATATTCTTGACTGCTATGCTAGTTTATATGCCTTTTATTATTTTATTTACTTTATGCAAGGTAACAGATTACAATATGGAGAAGCGCTGATTTTTCCATTATGGCCTAAAGTATATTTAACATACTCTAATCATTTAAATATTTAATGGAAATGAAACTACTTATAAATAGTGTTCTGGCTATTATTAATAAAAAATTGAATGTGTGACTTAAAGAATTGCGCGTGGCTTGTGAGCAATCTTGGACAAGGAGTTACTGTACTGTAGACTTAAAATATTTGTTCCTCTTTCTTATTTCATTTTTTTTTATTATTATTATTATTTTATAGATGTGTTCTTGCCATGTCCTGACAATTTGTTGGTAAACTTTGCTGAAAGTCGAGAGCTAGTGAAGGATCTCCTGAAGCAGTTGCCAACAATATTCCTCAATTCACATGATACAAATTCATCTCTAGGGCCAGCGCTGCAGGCTGCTTATAAACTGATGGTAAGTTCCATATTTACTTTTCTGTAGACAGTAAAAACCAGTGGGTTAGATGTAACATGTATGAGAGAATACAGTTATTTACTGCATAATCCCTGTTGCTATGTGCAAATCACTGGATGCACTTAGTTACACAGAAGGAAGTCTTATTACATGAGTTGATGGAAGATCTGCTCACAGTGTCAGTAAAATCACTGGCCATCAAGTGTTTAAATTATGTCCAACATTCAGTCACATTTTAGAACTTCATAACAAATATTATAATTCACTTTTTCAAGTTTTTTCTTTCATTTCCAGAAACTGACAGTGGAAACTATTGTTACATTTCAGGCACCAACTGGTGGCCGAGTGACGGTATTCCAGTCCTGTTTGCCCAACCATGGACCTGGGTTACTTACTGTTCGTGAAGATCCAAGCCAACGTGCTGGTAAAGAGGCACCACATCTTAATCCTGCCACTGATTTCTACAAGCGGCTAGCTCTTGATTGCTCAGGACAGCAAGTTGCTGTCGATCTTTTCCTTATCAACAGCCAGTACAGTGATCTGGCCACACTTTGTAAGTTCCACTGTGATGAAAGTCTCATATTAAACATACTTAATGATTCTTTTTATTGGTAAACATTCTAGATTGTACCATTTTTATGACCAAGCTTAGTTGTCCAGAGGTTGGCACTCCTGGTTTACATTTAGAAGGTCCTGGGTTTAAATGTTGGCCCAGAGATCATATTCTGAAGTTTATGTCTTTTCTCAATATCTCTAGGCAAATTCCAGCTTAGTGCCATAAATGAGGCCATGATTGTTTCCAAATCCTTTAATTTCATTATTAATCTTATCATTTGAAGCTGTATAATCTTAGCTACTGACAGCATTGTTAAATAATCCATAAATAAATTGTTTCTTATGACCCTCTCAGATCATCTGTAAAGAGACTTATCTCTGGAAACTTTTTTAAAATTACAGTGAAACCTCTATCCATCGTTCCCGGAACTATCGTTTTCCCGGATGCATTGTCCGTTTTGTTCGGTCCCGAATACATCCCATATAAAATAATGTTACATTTTCCCGCTTCTATCGTTCCTCGAACTATCGTTTTATCGCATCGATCGTTCAAAAATCTTAGTCCCGGCCAACAATTTTCCCGCAATGATCGTTTCTGAGAATTTAAAATGCTGGGTTTAGAGATAAATTAATACCGAAAGACGCACAATGTTTTTGGAAT